TGTTATGCTAAATTTTTTGTCATGGAGATTTGAACATCTTTTCCTGAACCATTTTATCCCCAGCCCTTTTCAAGTTCACTTTTTTGTAGTTCTCGGTGATTGGAACTCCATGGAAGGTCAAAAAGAGTCAATTTTTTTGTGATACAAAATTATCGGGATAAGAACATCATGAGTGTTATAATTTTCGTGCGGCGTTTACTTGAGTCTCATAACTTTTTTTTTTCACTTAAGTGCCATCGGAGTAAAATGGATCAAACTTTTTTTACTGAGTGCTTACATTGGAGTAAAATGGATCATTTGAGTGCCATTTTCGACAAATCATTCTATGTGGATTTTTTCATTAATTTTCCATCCGACGTGAATTTTTTTAATGTTATTTTACTGATTTTATTAAATTTTTTTCATTTTTTTTTTTTTTTCATTTTTTTTTAAGGTTGGCGAGGGTCGCCGGTGACCCTCGCCCTTGGCCAAACTAGGCGAGGGCCACCTTGCCATCGGTCAGTATGGCCAAGAAGGCCCTTGGCAAGGCCATCGCGGCCTCGTCGGCTGCGAGCGAGGCAGCAAAGGCTCTCGCCAAATTTGGTGAGGCTGCCTCACTCGTGGCCGCGAAAGCAATAGGCTGGGCCATCGCGGCCTCGCCGGCCACGAGCGAGGCGGCGAAGGCTCTCACCCGTGGCCGCGAAAGCCGATGGCCTCGCCGGTCGCAGGTGAGGTGGCGAAGGCTCTCATGGCGAGGCCATCACGGCCTCGTCGTTCGCAGGTGACGGGGCGAAAGCTCTCACCAGATCTGGCGAAGGCCTTCACGGCCTCGCCCAGGGCCTTCGCCGCCAAGGGCAAGGTGGCCCTCGCCCAATCTGGGTAAGGCTTTCACAGCAGGCGAGGATCGCCGGTGACCCTTGCCAGCATTGAAAAAAAATTTGCCAAAAAAACAAGAAAAATATTACAAAAATTATCAACGTCAGTTCCGACGAAACCACGTAGGACGATCGGTGTCCGCGTCGGATTTTCCGACAAGACAAATTGCCAATGGCACTTAAGTGATTAATTTTTCAAATTTGTTTTTTTTTTTGGCACTCATGTGAGCCAAAAAAAAGTTATAGCACTTAAGTAAACGCCGTACAAAAGTTATGACACTCCTAATATCCTTATCCCAAAATTATGAGATTCTTACGTATACTGTGTGTTTTTATTTATTTATTTTTATAGAAAATCATGTTTATTTGTTACCAATATTCATATAATATAAACACATCTACTAGATTGTACCATCCAAGGTACGGTTTCGAGGTACTATAGATGGCCCCGTTGCACGGAAAGAAAAAATCCTCTTTAGAAATTAGAATCAGGTTTCTTCGAAAAGGTATCCAATGCGATTGAATATTTCGGGAAGGTTTAAGCGAATCATGATAATTTAACATCCGAGTTGATAAAATAGAACTCGATCACTTCGCATGGTGGAAAACATAATTTAACTCAGACTATTGATACATAGAACTAAGACCCAGATAATTAACCTTACTAATGATCACTCATTTTCTTCAAACAAAAAAAGTAGGAGAGGCACTAAAATTGCAATTCAAAAAGCAAATAGAAAAGAGGTGCTAAAATACGGCAAAGGATGGCAAAATAAGAAGAAAAAAGAAGAAAGAAAGACAAAAGTGGACAGACCTGTGTTGTGGCTACTTGTTTCGTCACTTACTGAACTCTCCAGCTTTTACTTTTGTGTTCCGTTGCCACTTCTCAAAACCCTCGGAGATGATGGTCTGATAAAACAGCACGATCTATTCATGGCCATGGTCATGGTCATGGAGCTTCTTTCTTTCTTTTGCTACGTACTTTAGATGGGATTAGCTTTTGCCCATGACTACTTTCATGGCTGCTGAGGCAACAGATGAGCCCTTCGTACATTAGCTTAATGACCAGACTGTTCCATGACTAATATGGGATCGGGAACTACACTACGCGATCGATGACGATGTGGTCTCGCCGCACCTTTTGAAGGATAAAGAGTTACCCACTCTTAACACGAGTCGGCAGCTTGATTAAAGAGTTAATGTTTCTTCTACGCAAAATTGATGTGGCTTGAGTGGGTCAGGCTCCAAAAGGGGAGTTGCTTGTCTAGACTCGTCCCTTTCGCCTTTCATGCCATGAGGCTCAGGCGGGCCAACGGACCCATGATTACCTCTGGTACAGAATGTGCTTCGTTGATAAAAGGAGCAAATAATGAAATAAAGGAGCTGATAAGAAAGGACGAGAGAGCAGTAGACTCAATTTTTACCAATGGTTTCCAAGGATTCCCTCTTCCAGCCTTTCTCCTTTGATCCTTCCTTCTTTTGATCGAGCATGATGGGCTCTTCCAAATTTTCTTCCTCTCTTAGGGTCATCCCTTGGATTCTTAGTGTTGTTAAGGGATTAACCACACTAAAAGATAGGAGCTTTCACTTTTGCCAAGACTTCTGCAATTTGTCCACTTCCTTGAGCTATGGTGTAAGCTCCACGGATGCACATCTTATTTTAATTTATTGACACCCGCACGTCTCACACTCTCCAGTTCTCTCCCTATCTTTATCTTCCCGGGAGAGAGGGAATACTCTCTATTTACTTTACATTCGAAGAATCACGAGATCCGAATGAAACTTAGGATGAAGTTTTTTAAAACCGTGTTTAGGACGGATGAAAAGCTCTTTCGCTATATTTACAAATGGCTAGCCCTATCTCGTGCTCGTGTGTAGCACGTGCCTTCTCTTCAGCTGTATTTTTTAAGTTTTTCTTTTTCCCTTTTTTTTGGTTCATAATTATGTGAAGGGTTAATATCACGAAAAACCTCAAACTGATACACCTGTAATAATTTTATCACGAACTAATTTTTTGATCACGAAAAATCCCCCAGTATACTGTGACAAATTTACCCCGAACTATTTTTTACCATAAAAATCTCGGGAAAAGTGTAAAAAGTCCTAAACATTTTGCATTAGTGCCAATTTAGTCCTAAACCTTTTTTGGTGCCAATTCAGTCTAAACCTTTTGCATTGGTGCCAATTTAGTCCTAAACCTTTTTTGGTCTAATATTAAGTCCTAAACCTTTAAATTGGTGCAATCAGTCTAAACCTTTTATTTTTGTCACGATTTATTATTCCAGGTCAATTTTGCCTGAATTTACTGAGTGGACGCCTGTGGCCGTGGCCGGTCACCACGCGCCGACGTGGCTGCAGCGTGGACAAATTAAATAATATTTTCATATTTTTTGAATTTTTATTTTTTTCCTTTTTTTCTTTTTTCCACTTTTTTTTTTTGGTTTCTTCTTCATCTGGCCGGTCGCCGGTCCGGCGACCGGCCAGTGGCCGGCGAGCTCGACCTCGCCGGATCTGGCAAGGTCGAGCCTCGCCCAGCCGCCGGCGAGGCCCGACCTCGCCAGATCCGGCGAGGTCGGGCCTCGCCCGACCATGGCGAGGCTCGAGCCCTCGCCGGAGGCCGCGGCGAGGGCGAGCCTCGCCCGACCATGGCGAGGCCCGACCTCGCCGGAGGCCGCGGCGAGGGCGAGCCTCGCCCGACCAAGGCAAGGCTCGAGCCCTCGCCGGAGGCCGCGGGTCGGGCGAGCCTCGCCATGGTCGGGCGAGGCCCGACCTCGCCGGATCTGGCGAGGTCGAGCGTCGACCTCGCCAGATCCGGCGAGGTCGGGCCTCGCCCGACCATGGCGAGGCTCGCCGGACCATGGCGAGGCTCGCCGCGGCGAGGGCTCGAGCCTTGCCTTGGTCGGGCGAGGCCCGACCTCGCCGGATCTGGCGAGGTCGACGCTCGACCTCGCCAGATCCGGCGAGGTCGGGCCTCGCCCGACCATGGCGAGGCTCGCCCTCGCCGCGGCCTCCGGCGAGGGCTCGAGCCTCGCCCGACCAAGGCGAGGCTCGCCCTCGCCGGCCTCTGGCCTCTGGCCGGTCGCCGGACCGGCGACCGGCCAGAGTAAGGAGGAAGACAACAAAAAAAAAAGTGGAAAAAAAAAAAAAAAAGGAAAAATAAAAATTCAAAAAATATTTAAAAATATTAAAGTTGTCACGTCGGCGTACCGCATGGCCGCCGGCCGGCGGGCGTCCACGTAGGCAAATTCCGGTCTAAATTGGGGACTAAATAGACAAAAACAAAAGGAGGATCTGAATTGACACCAATTTAAAAGGTTTAGGACTTAATTGGCATCAAAAAGGTTAAAGGACTCAGCAAATTAGCCGACTGAATTGGCACCAAAAAAGGTTTAGGACTAAATCAAGACTAATACAAAAGGTTTAGGACTTTTGCACTTTTCCTTAACACACTAAGTACACTTGTAATAATTTTATCCCGAACTAATTTTTTTATCACAAAAAACCCCAAATTGGTATGATAATTTTACTCCAAACTGATACATTTGTGATAAATTTATCCTCCATTAGTGTCCGTTAAATTGGATTAATATCACAACAAATCGCAAATTGATAAACTTGTGACAAACAGAGGGGTAAAATCATAAACTGGTACACCCGTCAACTACCATGTGTCATTAAAATTAGCAATTTAATAATAAAATTTAACGGAAACTAACGAATGATAAATTTGTTACATGTGTACCAGTTTGAGATTTTTTGTGATCAAAAAATTAGTTCGGAATAAAATTATCATTGATGTACCAATATGGAGTTTTTGATAGTCAAAAAATTAGTTCGAGATAAAATTATTATAAATATATAATTTTAAAGTTTTTTATAATTAAAAAATAATTTAAAGTAAATTTATCGTAGTTTGAAATTTTTTGTACTATTTACCCTCGTGTGAATCACTACTTCGGCTGTTCTTTTCTGCTGTATTTTTCTAGCCCAGACTAGTCTAGTCCCCTTGGCCCCCACCCAAATAAAAAAAAATCAAAAACAAAACAAAAACCAAGAAAAGTAAATTTAGATAAAAAAAAAAAAAAGAGTGCGTTTTTCTCATAAAAAACCGCACATATTCACGCCTTAAACCCCTATAAATCACCTTCTTCCTGCAAAACCTTTCTCTCACCACCTTCTCTCTCTCTCTCTCTCTCTAAGATGGCCAGAGCATTTCTTCTCCTTCTTCAGCTCCTGCTAGCTTCGAGCTTCTTCTTCGCCCTGTCCTCCCATGGCGAAGAGCTCGAGGAAGCAGTAACCAGCGACGCCGTGACCCCCCCGGTCCACTCCCCCGCCGCGTCGCCGAGCCACCACCACCCCCACCACCACCACCACCTCGCCCCCGCCCCCGTCCCCTCCGCCGCCCATGCGCCGGCCCCGCACCACCACCACCACCACCACCACCACGCCCCCGCGCCGGTCCCCGCCCCCGTGGCTCACCCTCCCTCCCACGCGCCGGCCCACGCGCCGCCCCGCATGCCGGTCCACCCCCCGGCCCACCCTCCCATGGGCCCCACGGGCCGGCGGTTCATTGCCGTCCAAGGGGTGGTCTACTGCAAGTCGTGCAAGTACTCCGGGGTCGAAACTCTCTTGGGAGCTACTCCACTTCTTGGTCAGTTTTCTTTCATTCGTTCCGCATCTTCTTCCTCAGATTCAAAAGTTAAAAAAACACCCTCCCGTCTTCTTTGTCCTCGTTCTTTCTGTACTTTGCATGTTGGACAAATGTCACAAACTTGTTCAGTCTTCTTCCTCTCTTAGGGTTCAGTGCCATAGAAAGAAGCAAAAAAATGGAAAACATGTAAACACATAACACACATTTTCATCTGGTAGACATTATTATTCTCTCTTTTTTTTGGGTTCTTGTGATGTATTTGTACGATGTATTTATTTATCTTTTGTCATTCTTGATTTTCCCTAATAGCGAGGTTAGGTTTACAGACAGTACCTTTCTCTTACATCGATGCAAGAAAAAAGAGGCTGAAGCATGGATATCGCCCTTTCTCTTTGTCCTAGATGTTGGTGTGTGTTTGTCAACTTTCCCACGCTCCATAAATTATGAATTTTGGCCAGTGGACCTAGACCCGTTTTCCAATTTATTTAATCATTTCTTGGGTATACTAATCACAACCCTTTTCACCGTTTACCCACTAAAATGCTGGTGGGGTTCGTTTTAGGGAAAAAAGTGTTGACGATCCCAAATTCTCACCCTAGCTTCTTGAAAATTTTATAAAATTAGGTTTAGTGGAATTTCTTGATCTCGCATTTCTTGCCCAAGACAAATGTGGACGACGGCGAGTGATTTTTGTCGTTTTAACGACGGAATGTCGTTTCCTTGCAGGTGCCGTCGTGAAGCTGGAATGCAACAACACCAAGTACCGGCCCACCGTGCAGACGGCCAAGACCGACAAGAACGGCTACTTCTTCCTCGTGGCGCCCAAGACCATCACCACCTACGCCTTCCACAAGTGCAAGGCGTCCCTCGCCTCGTCGCCGCTCCCCTCGTGCCAGAAGCCCTCCGCCCTCCACGGCGGCTCCGCCGGCGCGGTCCTCAAGCCCGAGAAGCCCATCATGATCGGCAATCTCCCCTTCACGGTCTTCACCGTCGGCCCCTTCGCCTTCGAGCCGCAGTGCAAGCACTGAAGCTGCTGGCCGGCTCCGATGTTCCGTACCGTCGTGTGATCCTCTGGTGATGTGTTAATGAAAAAGCTTCCGTGTCTGAGAGACTTCGGATCCTGTGTAGGGTTTTCTTTAGAAGGTTGAAGATGATTGATGTTGTTTGATGACGATAGTGAGTGAAGTTCAGTGACTGGCTTAAGTTTGGCCTCTTTGATGGAAAATCACATGCTAGCGACCGTACTTCCCGTCACCTCAGTTCCTCGTCTCGACCACCGCCCTGGTTGTTCTCCGGCCATCTCTCTCTCTCTCTCTCTCTCGTCACACACCCACGATCCCCCCTCCTTCATCTCTTGTAATCGAGCGACCATGAGACCTCAGATCGAGGACGATGTGCAGTGTCGACTTTCAAGAACCTTACACAGGAGGAGGGGAGGGAGTGGGTTGTTGAGGACGGCGACTGAGTGGTCGCACCGCCGCTAGACAATCACCCACTAGCGGCCTTGTCCGCCGTCCTTGGCCACGAGAGACGGCGGGACGGCGGCCAAGGCTAAGCTCAGAGTAGCAGAAAGAACGCGATAGGGAACGAGATTTAGCAATAAATGCCCACTCGTGAATACTTTCAATAAATATTACAGCTCAACATAATAAATATCATCATAGTATTCTACACTAAAAATACCGTAATTCTTGAAATGTCTCGAAAAGAATACGTAACTTGTACTACTTCTTTGAAATTATCTCTTAACGTCTCCCGCGTCACATCACATCACATCATGTCACGAGCAAGGACCAATCCGTCGCGTTCCCAACCTGTTTTCGACTTTTTAAAATTTTTTTCAATCTGTTTGGGTCATGGAGAGGTTAACTACAAATTAGCATCTCTATCCATAGGCTGCATTAAGTACAAAATTATTTTTTTTTGTTGGCAAAAAAATTGACAAAAAAGGAAAAAGAAAAGAAAGAAAAAGCAAAGCAAACGGCTAGTGAAACTCGACTGTGCAAACGTTATGACGACTCCTGTCTGATTTGTGGCAGACATACTGTCCTGAAGCTCGCCAGCTCCTTTGGCCACAGGGCCATGCATGGAGGGTGGTCCCCCCTCTTTCCAGCACACATTTTATATTTATTTTTCTTCTTACGGAAAATGCTAATTAATTTTTGCAGCACGTGATTATTTCTAATCTTTGGTGTTTGGTATGACTTTTTCCATTCGCTCTATAATCTTTTAACCGTGTTTGATGTTTGGCAGGTTCGGACTTGTTCGAAACATTGTTACATGAAAAGCTCAACTCCGTGAACAAGTGACTCGGCTTTTGTCAATGTGAGCCCCCTGCAAATGCATCTCTTAGAACATCTAGTCACAACTACTGAGCATCGATGCGTATAATCTATTTTGATTTATTTAATATGATATTTGAAGCAAGAATATGCACGGCACTTGAGACCGTGAACGGTTCTTCAAAGTCTATTTGGCTTTCTATCAAATGATGAGCAAGAGATGGAAACAAATGTCCAAATGGTTTATCCTAAAATCGCAGTATCGTTTCACGTTAATAAGCAAGACCCTCATGCATATTTCTTTATTATTCTTACATTTTCCCTTGCAAAGAAGTTCCCACATAAAAAAAACTAGGTTCATCGTGGTATTGATTGATGAATGCAATTTTATAGGAATTGGGGATTGGTTTCATGAACCCACTTGGGAACCGGACCAAACCGGCAGTCCGATTCTCGGATGGATCAATGGAATCAGTGAGCAGTTCTCGGTTCCAATTTTTCGAAATCAGTACTTAGTAGGCGATTCCTAGTTTCAAGGTGGGAACCGTCCACCGGACTATGCTCACCCTTATTTCCGATCCATGTTCGATTGGTGCGCAGTGCCCAGATCAAGGGTGCCTTGCTGATGACACGACTTCTATTGTGTCTAAACGCATCGAAATTAGGAGATTTTTCCCTCCGATTATAGTCAAAAAGTTGTTTTCCAACGTTTATAATTCAGGCGGGTTCCGGGCAAAGACTTTTATGGTGATGATTATGAAGTAGTGGGAATAAAATCTTTGAAGCGGCTGAACGATGAAGGGGGGGAAGTTGCAATCATGGCCAAATCTCAATTATTCGTGACAAACATAGGATCCCCACAACGGATTGGGATTGGGTGAAGATTTGAATTTTACTTTAGCAATTCACTTTGATCAAAGGGGTCCTACAGCACAAGTTGTCCTAGGGCAAAAAAATAATGTTGTGGCATATGCGAATATCCGCAAGATTTTCCGGCAATTTTGAATTTTGAGAGTTTGACGGATTTTGATGTTTGATTTTGATCTTTGGTTTATTGTTGCATAAGCTAGGCTAATTACAAAAGGATTAAATGATGATTAAGGGGTCACGTTGTGAGCTTTTGCAAACTTTTAAGTACGAAAATGCGGTACCATATGAGCATCTCTATGCTCTGACCTATGTACTTTAGAGATGATTTTGATGTTTTCCTGGGTTTAACTTATATCTCGAAAATTTACCAGATGGAGAAGAAACGAGTTACCCACTTTAGAGAAAAGAGCGGAGCCATTTGAGTTCTAGCAAAAGCTTTTTGTTGGGTTTTTAAGAAGGAACGAGGAAATCGTATTTGAATTTTCCACTAAAATATTATTCTGTTTATAAATAGAATTATTAGGTTGTGTTTCGTGAGCCGGATATAATTTCGATATCTTATCCAATGTTTTGGGCAATGCACCGGCTGTCATCGGGGGGCCCTAGCCACGAGCTACCACAGTTTCGCCACCCATTCCCATCTTATCGCAATCGTCCCCCTTTGGTCTCTCGATTTTCTGCATCTGAGGTTTGGACTTGCGACTGATGGTTTTTCACACGGTTGCCATCGTCTGGTGATCTCCCTCCCTATGGCGGTCGCGCAACCAGAGGTGGCCGTGGCAGGCCCGGGCGGGCAATGAGTCATGCGACCTTGGGAGACATAGACTTGACCATGAAAATCCATCCTCTTGTTTTCTCCAGATCTGAGATATGGACTTGCAACGGACGGCGGCAACCAAAAAATGGTTGCGCGGTTGTCGTCGCCCAACAAGTTGCTTAGGGTGGTCGCGCCACCGGAGGTGGTTGTGGCAAGCCTATGCAATGAGTCGGGAAACATATTTCGAGACTCCATGACTAGATTATTCTGTTCAAATCTCAAAAATTAAATATTTTTTGCTTTATGTTTAATCTAATTTTGTCCATGGACAACAAACAGTCATTTGAATGATGCTTATTTGAATCTATCTTATATCCGTACATGCTTGATCAATATGGTACTTAAACTTTTACTTTGTTCAATGTAATCCATGGACTTATGGTACATGTTCAATTCAGTCCTTGAACTATATAAAAATGTTTAACGTTGTCCCTGATCTTGAATTAATGAAAGGACTACATTGAACATTGTCATATAGTTCAGGGATTACATTGAACATGTACCAAAATTCCATGGACGACATTGATCAAATTAAAATTGCACAGATCATATTGCACATTTGGTTAAAGTTTGGGGATCATTTGTGTCATTAGAAGTTCTACATTTTCTAAAGTAGAAAAGGACTTATTCTCGGCCCCAATGGAGAGCAATTGGCCTCGGACTGAAATGATTCGGACCAGCCCAGGCTGATTCGGGCTACGTTCGGAATTTTCAATGTATGTGTGTGTGTGTGTGTGTGTTTTTTTTTTATTGAAAATTTCTCATTCATCTCGTTTCATAATTAAAACATGCAATTATAGAAGAAAATATTCACATAAAATTACTTGAACGAAATATGGATTTGTTCGAAGACGTGAATTTCGCTAACCCATCAATATCTGACCATATTAATCAATGCGGAGTTTTTTCTTTCACCCAACTTTCCAATCATCGTTTCAAATTAGTCGGGATTTTGTTTCGAACCGCGATCTACGACCGCCTGTTCGTGACTTTACCCTGAGATCGACCAAGGACGGCAATCAAACCTCTGCAGCGGGATCGTTAGAACTGGGATGACCATCTACTAGTCATGATGGAGAAGTTCTTTTTTTATCGGTAAAAGAGTGGGGAGGAACGATCGATGCAACTACCCAGACTAGGCGTCACCATAAAGATGCTATACCAATTATGGAATGTTCATTTTGAGTTATAGCTCCTCAGCCTATCAGTAGTCACACGATCCTATCACCGCGGTTCCACCAGCATGCCAGGATTCATAACGTCTCTTTCGATCAATTACGTATTAATCGATATTCGATTGATTAGTCTGAGGTTATCGACAAAAAAGATTTGTCTAAGTCACTTCGTTTTCGTTTTGCCCAAGTTACTTCTCTTTTTGTGTAAGTTTCTTCTTTTTTTGTCTAACTCACATCCTTTTTTCTTTGGGAGTTTCGGGAATAGCCCCATTCATAGGTCTAAGGTCCATGTCTATGAATTCACATGAGCTGGCAAATGTCTCTCCTAGCAAGTACATGCGGGCTAGAAACTCACTCACGGCATGGCTCGAACTCGTGACTTCACGAAACCCATTTATAACTGGACGTTCATCCAAGATCATAATGCTGATTTATCGTTAACGGGGCGGACCGGCCCGCGGCGCAAAATGGATCAGCAGCTTGGCCCGTTACTTGAACCGGTGGGTCATGCCATCTCGAACCCATTTGCCATTAAAAGATGTAGAAAAAGAGATGGAAGAGATGCCAAGGCAAAGCTCAATATTAAAGGTCGTCGGCCCATCAAAATCGAAAAATCAACACAATTGTTGCGTTAGCCCTAGAATAAATTAGTCCAAATTAAGGAAGTAATCCAAATTAAAGAACAAACCTGATAGTGATAATTATGCTTGATAGGATCATTTTGATTTAATCACGTAAACATCGCTTGAAAGTTTCTGGTCCTAGTTGCCGTTCCTGCCAAACCCCAACTTGCTTTACTTATAGGGGATTATATCGCGAAGAAATAGATCTTATTGGAGAAGACCTTAGCTTCAAAGCCACTCCATCATCAACAATCATGAGATACATATACAAGGAATGGTCTGCAAAAAGTTACCATGGGCTTGCGACCACATGCAAATTAAATATCATCTCGAAGCTCGGAACGGGCAACCTACATCTTGAGTTTTGTCGGTCCATATCACCTCGCCACCCGATAAACCCCACACATGTATGGAAGCCGTCGTTTTTCCTTCCCAA